CCATACTGCCTGAAAAGAACCATCAAAATTCAACTACGCCCAGCAGCAAAGTGCAACTCAAGGGTGAACTTACCGGCAGGATTCCTTGCTCGTAGCTGAATTTCATGGGGAAGAGCTGGTGGTGGATTCGGCGAGCATCTACAGCTTCCTTGACGTTATCCCCAAGCCAAAGGTTACGAAGAGATGCCCAGGCCACGCCAGAGGAAATCTTGGTTCCCCCCGCGGCACCTATGATCAAACGCACGTCGCCCATTGAGTCGACGAACACTGCTGGACACATGGATGACAGTGGCCGCTTGCCTGTTTGGAATATAGAATTGCCTGCCTGAACAACTGATTGTAAAACTTACTATAAATCTTAACATTTTTGATGTTCTTTATCTGAAGATATTTTTTCTTTTGGAATTGTTATTCAGGATGCAAGAAATTTTTAAATTATTCTTCAAATGCTAAAAACACAAATACACATACATACACATATACACACACAAACACACACACACACACTTGAATTGACTTTCTTAATTACGAAGTTGTTTGGAGAAAACAATGTAAGGGTTAGCAAATTCAACAACCTATCACTTTCAACTTAATAAACAATTAAAAACCAGTCAAATTCACTCCAATAAACAATGTTCAAATTGACAGACATTTATCAATCACCAATCACCTTCAATGTTATGCGCATATTCATCAACACATTCATCAACAACATCTTCAACCCCCAAAAATAATGCTTGGGACAGACAAACATTCCTTTCCAACCTCAATCACCAAAAACTTTAAAAACTCGGTAAGCTCACCTGGCCTAATGAAGTTGGCAGGCGAAGGAGGAATTCCAAAGTAATTGGTGATGTTTGGGGCCGAGAAGTCGTCCATTTCATCATTGAGGACTATGCCGGTTTGGACAGAGCGGATTCCTGCACCAAAGCTGGAAAGGGAAAATGAATATGAGAGAATATGAGTGGGAAAAAGGCAGAGAGGGAGGTGGGAGGGAGAGAGAAAAACAGAGAGGAAAGCAGAGAGGGAGGTGGGAGGGAGAGAGAAAAACAGAGAGGAAAGCAGAGAGGGAGGTGGGAGGGAGAGAGAAAGGCAGAGAGGAAGGGAGGGAAGGAGGGAGGGAGGGAGGGAGAAAGGTAGAGAGGAAGGGAGGGAAGGAGGGAGGGAGGGAGAGAGAAAGGCAGAGAGGAAGGGAGGGAAGGAGGGAGGGAGGGAGGGAGAAAGACAGAGAGGGAGGGAAGGAGGGAGGGAGAGAGGGAGGGAGAGAGAAAGGCAGAGAGGGAGGGAAGGAGGGAAGGAGGGAGGGAGGGAGGGAGAGAGCGAGGGAGAGAAAAAGGCAGAGAGGGAGGGAGGGTGGGAGAAAGGCAGAGAGGGAGGGAGGGAGGGAGGGAGAAAGGCACAGAGGGAGGGCGGGAGGGAGATAGGGAGGGAAGAAGGCAGGATGGGAGGCACAGGGGGAGGGAGGGAGGGAGATAGGGAGGGAAGAAGGCAGGATGGGAGAAAGGGAAGAAGAGAGGTGAAAAAAGGTGAGAAACACACACACACACACACACACACACACACACACACACACACACACACACACACACACACACACACACACACACACACACACACACACACACACACACACACACACACACACACACACACACACACACACACACACACACACACACACACACACACACACACACACACACACACACACACACACACACACACACACACACACACACACACACACACACACACACACACACACACACACACACACACACACACACACACACACACACACACACACACACACACACACACACACACACACACACACACACACACACACACACACACACACACACACACACACACACACACACACACACACACACACACACACACACACACACACACACACACACACACACACACACACACACACACACACACACACACACACACACACACACACACACACACACACACACACACACACACACACACACACACACACACACACACACACACACACACACACACACACACACACACACACACACACACACACACACACACACACACACACACACACACACACACACACACACACACACACACACACACACACACACACACACACACACACACACACACACACACACACACACACACACACACACACACACACACACACACACACACACACACACACACACACACACACACACACACACACACACACACACACACACACACACACACACACACACACACACACACACACACACACACACACACACACACACACACACACACACACACACACACACACACACACACACACACACACACACACACACACACACACACACACACACACACACACACACACACACACACACACACACACACACACACACACACACACACACACACACACACACACACACACACACACACACACACACACACACACACACACACACACACACACACACACACACACACACACACACACACACACACACACACACACACACACACACACACACACACACACACACACACACACACACACACACACACACACACACACACACACACACACACACACACACACACACACACACACACACACACACACACACACACACACACACACACACACACACACACACACACACACACACACACACACACACACACACACACACACACACACACACACACACACACACACACACACACACACACACACACACACACACACACACACACACACACACACACACACACACACACACACACACACACACACACACACACACACACACACACACACACACACACACACACACACACACACACACACACACACACACACACACACACACACACACACACACACACACACACACACACACACACACACACACACACACACACACACACACACACACACACACACACACACACACACACACACACACACACACACACACACACACACACACACACACACACACACACACACACACACACACACACACACACACACACACACACACACACACACACACACACACACACACACACACACACACACACACACACACACACACACACACACACACACACACACACACACACACACACACACACACACACACACACACACACACACACACACACACACACACACACACACACACACACACACACACACACACACACACACACACACACACACACACACACACACACACACACACACACACACACACACACACACACACACACACACACACACACACACACACACACACACACACACACACACACACACACACACACACACACACACACACACACACACACACACACACACACACACACACACACACACACACACACACACACACACACACACACACACACACACACACACACACACACACACACACACACACACACACACACACACACACACACACACACACACACACACACACACACACACACACACACACACACACACACACACACACACACACGCACACACACACACGCACGCACGCACACACACACACACACACACACACTCTCTCTCTCTCTCTCACAAATATATATACCTCAAACTCATATACTAACTTGTACATCCTGAGGTCCTCCTCAGTGACAATGCCCCCAAAGCTCTGGATATCCTGAGCGAGCTTAGCTGCCAACTGACCACTATATAGGGCATCGGGATCCTCCTGCAGGTCTCTCAGGGTCTTTGCAAGCTGGGGCCTCTTCAGCGTGTCCCCCTCCTTGTACACATCGCCTGTCTCCGGGTTAATAAATACGCTGGAAGAAGGAACGAAATTAAAACTATGGAAATTGAGAGAGGAGAAGTCATGAATTTTGGAAATAACCTATTTTTTCCTTCATTATATGTGACTGTCTAAAACATAAACATACAAACTGCATTTAGGATTCTTTCTCCAAGAAGAAAATACACATAACAGATCACAATGCCTAGACACATTACCTCATGCTTGGTTCCTTCTTGATATCCTCTGCGTTAAACTTCAGAGCACGTGCCATATGCCAGTTGACAAGATGCCCTTCTTCACAGAGCTTGATGGTGGGTTCCAGGAGCTCAGCCCACGGCAAATTTCCACCAAATCTCTCGTACAATTCACGGTATCCCCGGAGCTCTCCAGGGACAGCCACGGCAAGCCCTCCTATATTAATCAAAAAGGCATTAGTAATACATTAGACATTTCCTATCCTGTGAAAAGAGGAGGAAGAGGTTCTTCTGTGCAAAAAATATGATAGATATCAATTAGGGAAGGTCTTACTAAATTATTTCATATATCCATGTAGGCAGATGCACACCTACCTCACTAATTCACTCATTAATACAAATTAATTCTTAAATTCTCAAATTCTCAAATATACTCAAAGCAAATAAAAATCAGCCAGTGAGATTCAGCAAAGAACTCTTATCAATAGTCTTTTATTATCAACCACAGAAAGAGAAATTTTCACACTCTCTTATACTTATCAAATATGTGATACTGACAAGTTGTTGTGACAATTATTTGAATATTGACAGATTGATGATGATAATTATCTGATAACTGGTTGGTGATGGAATTTATTTCATATACAACAAAAGCACTTGTGTCAATTTCAGTCAATCACCCTCTAGCTGCATCTGTACCCTGTTGCTTTAATTGCTTTAGTGTCAAGCACGCAAACTATACTAGTGGTAATCAGATAAAATCATGCAGACAAAAATAAAATAAATAAATTCATTTTTTTTAATCATCATTTATAATTTGAGTAGCATAAATAGTGTCTAGATGGAAAAAGTGCGAAATAATTTTCCAAATAGGCATTTTTAGTGTAATATTCTGCCAGTTTCATAATTTCAAAGTGCAACAGTCATTTCTATACTTATGTACAATTTGCACTTGCATAAGGAGGCTTCAACTGTTAATGATGTATTG